ACTACTATATTATTACTACTACACACACACACACACACACACACACACACACACACACACACACACACACACACACACACACACACACACACACACACACACACTATTCCGTTTATTGTCTATATAAACACATCAAGCTCCACATCCGTCTTTCTGCGGCTGAATCCTGACTCGGGAACACTCCCAATTATTGTTCGTAACCAGCTGTCCCACGGAGGCGATTTATTGTTTTATAGACACACAGGCAAGTGATTGTGTCTCGCCTGCTGCGCTGCGTGTGGGACCCTGTTCTCTGCATGCACAGAGAGCTGTGCAGAACAGCCGTGCGAGAGAGAAATCCCCACCTTCAAGCACACTTCTCATGCGACCGCGCCTGGAGAAACTAAAAGCCAAAGGCATCTCTATTCTCAGAGTTCTTTCAAGGGCCCTCCCGCATAGTTCAGCACCAGGGCACAGCTGGAACCTTGTGGCCCCGCCCCAGCCAGGCTACCCTCCCTCCCGGGTGTATGGAGACAGGCAGCGCTCAGTACAAGCGCACTCTATGCACAGAGAACTCTGGAGACACCTGCCCACACACGCAGACCTGCGCTGGGCACAGGTAACCCCAAATTCTTTGGCAGGGCACACTACATGAATGAGTAAATGACCTAAACTACTTGGGATTTTGGGGGGTGGGATTCTGCCTGGCATAAAGTTTCTTCTGCTTTGGGGTTTTGGCTTAGCTGCCTCTCCTGGGAGTTTGTTCCAGCCTCTTTTGAGATCTCCCTAGTTTGTTTATTTTTTAAAAAACTTTAGCTCCGTCTTCCCAATGCTGCTTTGTGCCGGAGGTATTTGATCCTGGCCTGTCAGCCGTGCAAATTGTATGTGATGGTTCATGGATGGATAATATGTAGAAGAAATAACTTTGCAGTCATGCTTCATTGCTACTTTCATAAAGCTCTTTGTGCTATTCCCAGTCTGTACTAGACTGTGGTTTGGTTATTGTCTAATTTGATCAGCATAATTTAAAGAACCAGGAAGTATTCAGTTCCTAATGTAGGAGCTTTGCATATATAATATAACGATATAGTGCTTCCCCTCAAAATTCCAATGCTTCCCACCTGCCAAATGCCTTCAACAAAGTAATTATGGCACTGCTCCCCTTTGATTGTGCCTTATATGTATCATTCTCCAAAACTATATTGAACAAATATTTGGCTTGCAACACTAAACAGTAAGAGGAAAGGAAGTGAATTAGAAAAATATTATGCAAAATAGATTGCTGCTATTGCAGTTTTAGAATTAATGCAAAATTGCGGTACGTGCTGTAACATCTTTGAACATTTGGGTACACTAATGGGACAGGGTTGCCCCCAATTTAGCTCTTTTCTTTAGCAATAGTTTGCTGGCTTCATGTTTAAACAGGAAATTTTATTTGTCTTTTAACAGTCAGTTGCAATGTGGTCTACCTTTAGTTTAAAACTACTTATGTCTGATCTGCAAACGGTGCTGTGTGCCTGGAGATCTTGTCCAAACTGTTTTTTTTGCACTAAAGAAAATCTAATTTTTCTTGCGATACAGAAAGCATTCGATTGAGTATTTGACCTCATAGCCCTTTGCAACCCACTGGTTCACTTGCTAAAGCAGTGGAGCAATTTGACCAGGGTCCCTTCTTGTTGAATCCAAGTAAACAGTATGAGCACTGCAGGCATTTTAGTGAACATTTTCTTGATTATTTGGTATTTTGCTGGTAGTAGCAAGTAGCTGGAATTGTAAAGTCTGGAGAAGTTAAATTTCTTTGATCCCTAATGAGTGAAGTTCATGCTGGCCAGAAAGGCAGGCAGAGTAGGGAGACATTGTCTCAAATACCCCACCCTGTTAGCAGGTGCTGATTCTGCTGTGAAAATATAAAGTGCGTTTGGCTGACTTACTGGTATACCTGGTTTATTATCCCATCTGTAGGTAAGAGAGGTGGAATCAGCCCTCAAGCAGAGAGAGTGAGTTTGGGAAAGAAAGGACCCTAACATCAGCTAAGCCTGAATTCATTGGTAATGGTGAAAGGTGTCCAACGTCTTGCAGGATTAGGACCTTAAAGAATGAAATGCCAAATTCTGCCCTGGGATACACACTTGTAACTCCCACTGAACCAAATGATGTTCTCGGTTATACCTTTGCAACCCCAGCCAGTGAGTTCCATGAGACTTATGTACATGTATCCTTGTACAAGAGCAGAAATGTGCCCTGCCCAGGTTACGATTCAACCCCCTCTGGAGGAGAGTAACTACGACTTTACCACTGTAGTCAAAATATCTTTGTATGCTTCTCTGACACCTATAATTTATAAATAAAGAAACTTATTGGGCCTTTTCATTTCTAGTTTGTGTGTTTAGATGCACAAGTGTTGTGGGATTTGCTGCATAAGCTTTGAGTTTCCAGTTAGAAAGAAGTGATCTCCTATTAACTATTACTAGGAATTTCAAATAATGGATCCAATAATAAAATAGACGTAAGTTGCTTTACAATGGTACTACAGGAATTTAGGAAACAGGAAGCTCCTTTATTAGGTATTGTTCTCACATGTAGTATCCTTGTGAGTCTGATTTCATTGCATATCTGTTTACATTTGTGACTTAACTTGAACACATCTTGTGAATCAGCTACTTCCTGATATGAAATCTATATAGATCCTCTTTATCAGTAAAGAGTGGTATGCTTTCAGCGGGGACTTTAAAAAAAAGACCTTGTCACATAATAGGACCATGGAGCATTATGGAAGCAAACTAAGAGGTTTGCTATTTGGCTGTATGGATACAGTGAGGTTGAGATTTTAGATTTATTTGTTCATGTTCCCTTGATTCATTCTTAAGAGTCTTAAATCTCATCGCAGTGCAAGTGTGCCCCGTCAGCGGGAATTGCACTCACAGGCATTGAGATTGATTGGGTAGTCGTAAGGCAGGTAAAATTCCTGTTGACTTCACTGGAAGTTTTGTTGCATAGGGACTTCAGGGTTGAGTCTGTTGAGACGTATGTATACTAGCTGAACTGGACTTTAATTAAGGGAGTCTGTGCAGCAGCATACAACTAGAATGAACCTCCCATGCCCCCTCTTTGGCCAAAATCCACTCCCCTTTCTGGAAAACACACTCCTTTTTGAACTGCTGAAAGAATAGCAGGAGAGCTTAGAAGAATCCTGCAGATCACAAGTTAATCCTCACTTAAGTTATTTTGACTAGACGACCACATGCAGTTCTGAATAGATCTCAGCCCTGAATCTGACTCATAACGTGAGCCAGGAAATGTTTGGATAGGAAAAGTGGGGGAGGGGTTAGCAACAGGTGTCTTTGGAAGCAGTTCTTTAGGCAAGGTTAATGCAAATTCAGAGTAAACTCTACTAGTTTACATAAATATGTGCTTGAAAAGAAGCCAATAATGACTCCTTGATTGTAAGCAATTGCCTGTCCTCCTCTTTATATGAAGTTCAGAACACCTCACTGCTCTCGTCTGGAAATTCCAGCCCCTAGAATCAAGACCTGTAAATGTGGAGTAGAACCTGATCAAACATGGCTGTACTTATGTTATTCACATGTGCCTGCTGCACTGGACAGCCGGCAAATCTTAAATAAATGGCCTATCTTCAGTTTATCTAGGATAATTGAATGTCTGCCGTAATCCTGATCTGTGGGATGACAAAAAGAAAAGTGATCAGAAGCTATTTAATTATTATGTAAATCTCACCATATCAAACAAAGAATCCATCTCTGGGTATGCATCGAGGCTGCTATATGTTTCAATTATAGTTTTAATTGCTTACCTTTGGATCTAATTCTGCTTTGTCTAACCTTTCACACAACTATATGGCTTTAGGTAGAGTTACAAGTGGTAAATCAGAAGATAAGTTGGCCCTTCTCTTGTGCTTTTATTTATGGATACGGTGATGATGGGCATCTTTAATATTGTGTGTCATAAGAACTAATAGTTGTAGCTAGTGATTTATGTTACCATTTATGTTACCATTTCTTGATCTATCTTTGAAATAATTTGCTGTAAGACTGATAGGATACCAATTGCCAACTGATAAGGTGCAAAAGCAGATGAAATGCAGATTTTTTTCTGTGTGTTTTTGCCTTCAGTTTTCCCCATGAAAGAGCACTGGGTGGATCAGCTAGGTAAATGGGTGTTACCAAACATGTACACAATCTACTGCCCAGTGCAATATTTACCTATGTGCCTTGGATAAATACTTGTGCTTCATTATTTCCTTTAGAAAGAAATCCTGGAGAAGGCAGTACATTCTGTTGTGTCTTCTTAGTGTATGCCCAACGCCCCTCAGGTGGCATGTGACCTGGGCATCTTGGTCTGCCACCCAAAGCTGAAATTTTGTATATATTTTTAATTCTCCAATTTTTCCCAGATTTAAGGACAGAATTAAGGCTAATGGAGTATAAAGATATAAAACACACCCAATGTGTTGTTTTAGGGTCTGTGAAACTGACATGCTGGTAAGTCAAAATATAAATGGCTATATGCAGTTTTTGTTGCTTTCTAAATATTTAATCACTCTGCCCTTCCTCTTCTGTGTGTTCTTGTCCTTTCACAGGGCTTGATCTTGCACCTTTGAAGTCAACGGGCCTGATTCTCAGTCTTGTTCACTCACTGTGAAAAATGAGTGCACCCAACCTAGGTGTCAGGGAGCAAAGAATTCTTTTACATTGGCTTTGCACTGGTGTGAATGAGGACACAAGCAGTGATGATTGAGGCCCAATGTCAGTTTTGCCTTTGACTTTAATAGTAGCTAGACTGGGTCTATAATCTTCTGTAGGCTTTTGTGTGTGTTGGTGTGCGCACATGCCAAGGTGTAAAATTATTTGTTTGAGACTCTGCTTGAAGACAGATTTTTAAACCTCCTTGAAGGAAAATAATTTTTTTGGTTTCAGAGTAGCAGCCGTGTTAGTCTGTATTTGCAAAAAGAAGAACAGGAGTACTTGTGGCACCTTAGAGACTAACAAATTTATTAGAGCATAAGCTTTCGTGGACTACGATGCATGATATATGCATCCGAAGAAGTGGGCTGTAGTCCACGAAAGCTTATGCTCTAATAAATTTGTTAGTCTCTAAGGTGCCACAAGTACTCCTGTTCTTCTAATTTTTTTTTGAAAGCTCCTTATTATGGGGAGGTGATTCTACTTCCTCCTGTTTTTTTGTTTTGTTTTGTTTTGTTTTGTTTTTATTTATCTCCTTGACCTGGAGGCTCTTTGTTTCAGAACTCAGTGCTGTGGAGGTATTCACTCCATGCACCTACTCCTCCATGCACCCACTCCTCCTTCTCATGGAGGCTTTCTGATAAAAGGAGAACCCAGAATTATATGATTCTATGAAAATTGCTGTATTTGCCTAACTGGATGTAGGGTGACCAGATGTCCCAATTTTATAGGGACAGTTCCGATGTTCAGGGCTTTGTCTTATATAGGCACCTATTACCTCCTGTCCTGATTTTTCACACTTGCTATCTGGTCACTCTATTTGGATGGCATTTCCTCTCTCTCCTCTTCACAACGTGGGAGGTTTTTAGAAAGGTCTTCAGGAGTTGGCTGGGACTCAGTGCTATTTCCTCAGCTCACT